CACGGACTATGGACACACGCGTTTCCGATGTGCCTTATCCCGTCGAGTGAAGTGCGATTAAATTGGTAAATCAATAGTACTTACACTAGCAAGACATGTCAATGAATCACTTCAAACGAGAATGAGACGTAAAAGTAATTACGCACTTAGCCGAATCGATGTCCCGTAATACACATCTATTAAGTGGAGGTAATAAACGTCTGCCTGGTAAGTGCTACCAGGTATTGAGCAAATGTGCGAGCGATATCCGGAATGCAAAAGCAAAGGAAAAAGTTGATGATACGAACGATGGAGCTGGTTAATAGGAATGCGGTATCCGTGCATTGCACACACATTTATGGCTGCAGGTGTTGATAATGTGTCACTGATTCCAGCAAACACGTTGATAAATTTTGGATTTGGATTGGACCATTACGAACTCGAACCAGCCATAAATCGCACGATGCCTCCTGATACCATGTTGAAGTCGTATCAAAGATAAAAACGTATGTAGGCAATATGAGCATTGGGCTTCACGTTGATGGCGGACGGGATAAACCCCAAGGTCGGTCGGACATTTCTACGAAAGCAATACTCTACACGATGTAGAACTTTGTGCGAATTGTAAGGCTTCTACACGGTACTGCTGCTGATCGGCCGCTTCAAACGATCACATTCACTATTTGGCACAAGTAGATGCCACCCGCACCGCTAAACAAGATTTTTAAACCCCAGACACCCTCAAAGTACTCACGGTTCACAATAGAGCGGTTAGTTCAGAATTTGGGTGGAAGTGACCGAGTGGTTAGGGATGTCATGAAGCGACTTCTGGATCTTGAGTCCGAATCACAACCGACTACCATCCTCACACTTTTCGTATTTGCACCAGGTAGGTAATGCATAGCCGTGCAAAAAGCCCTGGAACCAACAAGACACGTGCAAGTAGTCAACTTTGTGCTATAGTTTCACAGTGTAACATATTTCACCACTTTGGAAGAACACTGTCATCAGTTTCTTTGGAGCAAAGTATTTTCAGGTCTATGATACATGAATGAGTCTGGTATTCGCTGAACTATCACATTTGGAAGTGCTTCTATTACTAAAAATAGTGAATGAAACGCTAGCTGAACGAGCAATATTTAGTCATGTACCTAGACTAATTATACTTGAGACATATTCACAAATTTGCGGCTTGAGTCATACTGCGCCTAACCGAGATTAAGTAACCCATTGTCCTGAATGCAGCATTTTCCAACCATGTGCAGTGGTCCAACAATGATCAATGAATGCGTACGAATCGACGTTTTATATCGGAAGTCAAGTGTCTCGAATAGATGGGTATTATGTTCTGGTCTTCTTTTGTATTCGCGTACAAAATAAACTGGACATTGCACTGTCTTCCGAACTATTGGGTTGTTGCATAAGTTCCCACCCATCCGCTCTTTCGTTCGATTCTTGTTCAAATTTAGACACAATTTCTCGTCTCCAGTGACGATTCTGTATAAGACACGTTGACTGGTGAGAAGAGGGTGCCAACAAAGGGAAAGTAGTAATATTAACAACAACGATTACATTAATCTTGTGAAGCATAAGTGGGGTTTCCCAATGGTATATAGCATTCGGCCAAATAACAAAAACTCGATGGAGAACAAATGGTTTCATGTAACGGCGGAAACTTATGAAAACCTAAACTATTGGATTGTATGAAATATGTTTCTCTCAAATGGATTTGGGGATAGACATGCACATCACCGGAAACCTAAAACGGATTACCTGATCTGGCTTAGGTCGTGTTTACTAACAACCCGCTCCTCTGTCAGTCCATTGGCAGTAACCGGATCGATAACCTCTCTACGTTAACTTCCTTCATTTTCGTAGTCGGTTAGACTGCCTGATTTTAGGAGGAGACAGGCCACACTCCATTCGTTGATGTGCTGCATGACCGGTAGTAATTTATTTCAGGTAAAGTTTGACTAACGCGATTCAATGGAGATTGAAGTCAACCACTTGGATGAATGCATGTGTACTTTCGCTTCCCAGATGAAGTGAGCTACGGAAAGTTTCCATCTTTTCAGGTAATAAAACCCGGGTACGTTAATTGAAGAAGTCAATTGACTAACGTGTTTTGCTCAAACGGTACGATCTTTATTTATCTGTTCCTTCTGGTACCGGTAACATGTCAAAAATGTCATTGTTATATTGTGCAGGAACTAATTCTTTCTGAACACTTCATGTATGATATCAAGTTCAACAACCCTCCATTCAACAGCCGAATCGGAGGAAAACTGCTTATTCAAAATCCAATGTCCAGCCAGTTGTGGCGTTGGATGCTTTGTATTATTCTGTTACCAAGTTCTCGAATAACTGATTGCAGTTCCGGGTGTTATTTATAAATCACAAGGAAAACAAATGAATCCAATCGGTGTAATCTTCGAACAAATGAGAACGAATAATTGGAAATAAGGACATACTAGAAAACTAAATTTGATCCGACTCATCGCGATTCGTGCGTCGTTTTGTGTACCAAATGTATGCGCAGCTGATGAAATGATAGTTTTGCAAGTATTCATCAGAATCTGTGAGACCCGATCTTTTACAAATACGGAAAATTCAATAGATAATTCTGCACTGCTCTAAACCTTCGCGCTGAAAGCTTATATGCTTTTGCGTACCGATGCGAGTTGCGAATACAATTGCCAAATGTTTTATTCGTGACCGTAATATGCCCAGGTTGAATTAAGTGAGTCAAACATTCCTGGGCATTAGATTTTAATAGATGGTGACAAACTGTGGTTATTCATATCATTAATAAGTCGTCAGGGTTCTTTCGTTTGTTTCATTTACCGAAGACGTGATATATTGAAACCAATCAATCTCGTAGTCAGGTGGTTGATCGCAGAGAAACCTACGCATAATTTCCATCCTGTAAATAGATGTGCGAGGTACAATATAAAAGCGTAGCGGATGCCAGTGAATTACAACACAGTGAACATGAATTCCCATGTCGTGAAAATTCTGTTCATAACTTTGTGTGTCAGCGGGATCCTCGGTAAGTAATAAAATACAATTCATTGACAAAATTCAGATGCGGAGGCACAGAGTTGCAAAGAAGTTGTTGCCACAAGTGAAACACAAAGTGTCGTCGTGCAAAGCAATGTTACCGGTTGTCAGTACCGAGTCACATCGGACTCTGGTAAGACGGTGAAGGTCTACGTTAATGTAAGTCCGACGAAATTTATTCAATCTTAGTTGGANATTACATCCACGGAACCAATTGAAGTGAGCGCAGCGTCAGGGACCACAACTACTGCTGCAGCCAAAACAGAGCCAAGTACAGCACAAACAACGACACCTACGACCAAACCAGGTGAACCAGAGAAAGGTAACAATGAGGACGGGAAATCCGATGCATCTGAATTGCAACCTCCGAATGCTGTCGGGAATGCTAAGCAGCAACCATCAGCACAGGAAGAACCAGATAATTCGAACGGAGCGTCGGTNTCGGACTCTGGTAAGACGGTGAAGGTCTACGTTAATGTAAGTCCGACGAAATTTATTCAATCTTAGTTGGAACTAAGAAGCAGTCATCTTAACTGAGTTATAACCCGGCTATTCACTTGGTTGTAGAGTACAAGTGGTACCAAATGTGTGACTGTAAGAAGTGGAGAAACATCGGAAACCCTGTGCCCGTCTGGGCCAAATAATCAGATTACATCCACGGAACCAATTGAAGTGAGCGCAGCGTCAGGGACCACAACTACTGCTGCAGCCAAAACAGAGCCAAGTACAGCACAAACAACGACACCTACGACCAATCCAGGAGAGGAATCAGAAAATCCGAACCCAGGTACTCCGGATGTGGAGAAAAAGGAAAACGAACAGGCAACACAAGATGGCGGAAAAGCAAATCAGCCACCATCGGAACAAGGTCAACCAGACAATCCAAATGGTGCGGTAGAGCAAAAAATTCCGGAAAGTCCATCGCAAGCAGCACCAGAATCACTTGTGCAAGAAGGAAACGTTCCTGCTGCTGATAAATTAATTCGACGTGCCAGAGATACCCCCAGTACCGATGTAACCGTGTACTACATATTGGGTGAGTGTAGCAAGGCAACGATTAGTTTACACAAAGCACAAATGTCGTTTGTAATTATCAATCTTAAGAATAACATACCGCTACTGATGCCTAATTCATCGGGAATTCTGGCGATTGAGACTGAAAAACTGATCCTTCCCCTTTTAATTCGTTTCAGATGGTGTGTCGAGATCCAACCCTCCAGTACTTCTTACGTTAATATTTGTTGCACGCCTAATCAATGGTGGTGCATGGTAAGTTCCTTAGTATAATGAACACTCAGTTCAACTGATCCTTTTGATTTATATAACTCCCGAAGTACAACTTCCAGTTTGTGCATCTCACGGATATGCTTCAACAGTAGATTGGAATAATTCCATTCCGTTCTTTTCCTTTTCAGAATCCAATGAATAACGAACGGGCTTCATGCCACTCAAAATCATTTTAGGCATACATGAAGTTAATAATCAGCCAATAAAAACTTACAATCATGTTTCATATTTGTTTTGAGTTTTGATACCCCAAGCGCATTTTGACGTAAACACACTCGTTCACGAGCAAGAGCACTGGAACCTATCGGATTCAGATAAAGAAATATAACTATTACATCACAGCCCAACACAAAATGCAGGTTTGAGTAAGAGATGTCATGGCGTCAGCAAATCTAGTCCCAGAATGCAGTCAAATATGACATGGAAGCTTATTGCTTCCTGCAATGAATGGGATGAACCATGATCGGTTGTGTATACGTAGGTTAATCAATGATTTTTCCATTTCAAATTTGGTCGGAGCTCCAATTTTAGTGTTCACACTCATTTTCACTGGGAGCAAACTGCAGTCATTATTGCCATAACTGTTTCACATCTCCACAAGGTCCTCATAAATGACTGTAGTTGATCCCGGTAATTTGTAACCTCTACGACGAAAACAGTTCAAAGTATAAGTACGCTCATTCATAGCTGGCCAATGGGAATACATCGGTCCGTTTCAAATATATTGATCATTGGCTATACTGATTGTTAAATATGTTCTTATTATTTGTGAGCATCTGCTGTAGCGCTATGCTCGAAAAAAATCGATGTAAGTTTCTTTAAAAAGTAAAATTGGTGATTCCGATGCGATCGATGTTCTTCCTCGAAGCATCGTTCACAATAGATAAAATATCCCAAGTATGCAGCACAATTGTTCAAATATTTAACAAACAAATGTATAGGTGCCTTCCTGTCCAAGGATTGTCATGTTTTGCTCCCGGTGACCGATGCGATTGAATAGTGCGTGTTGTCCTGCAGCTGATGCACATTTCGTTTATAACATTTGTTATTCCAACCTTTTCTGTAATGAGAAGTGGAGCACACGCTGTATGAAACGAAGATGGCAATACTTCTTCAGACATACTTGGAACATATAAGTATCATGATCTAAAAGAAGATTGATTGCTCTTTTCCGGATTTGTAACGTACCCACGATCCATGTTTCATTCTTTGTAAACTAGCGTAACTAGTGCGCAGCCTTCAATGAAGTTATATTTTGCAGATAGAGCTCTGGCGGATTCGAAGTTGCTTTGCCGGTTATGAAAAGTTCATTAGCCTCGGTGGGATTCAAACCCACGCAGGGACGTTGCTTACACCTTTTACGCGCATGCTCCACCAGCCAAGCTACGAGGTCACACCGATATCACTGATCTTTTTACGCTGAACATTTCATAATCGTCGTAGCAACTTCAAATCTTCCCGACATTCATTTGCACAATTAACCTTGTCTTAGGTGTTCATTCGGTGGGCTCAGGTGAATTCTTACGAAAACCTGTCGGGGCAGTCAGCTTACATGCTACTTCTTGGATGCCATATGTCTCTGTAATTTGAATTGGCAATACGAATGTAAAAATATGAGTGCCATCGGTGTGGCCTCGTAGCTCAGCTGGTAGAACATGGGCGTGCCTAATATAGGTGACGTCCATGAGCGGATTACAACCCCACCTAGGCTACTGAACGTTTCACAATCGCTATGTAAATTCCATTTCTTAAGTTAAGCTCTGAAATATACATTCTGCTGTCGATACGATCGAGCTCTGGAGCGAATTTCTGGGAGAATATGACTGAGATCCATTGACTTCTTACCGGTTACGAGTTTATGTAGACAGCGAATTGATCCAACATTTTTATGTGCATAAATGTATCGCTAATGTGGTGACACGATTTGGTTGAGAAATATTGAACTGAGGAACCCTTGCTTATCTGATCAGAATGTTTTTCATTTCACTTCCTTTTATTGAATATGCAACGATACAAATTTCAGGATGGGGGAAGCGGCTTATCAAAGGGCTGCCATACAATATACACACCAATGGGATAAATCAGGCGGTGGTGATGGGATTC